TTTGAGACAGAGTCTCACACTGTCACCAGGCTGTAGTGCAGTGGCATGATCCTGGCTCACTGCAATCTCCGCCTCCTGGGTTCAAGCAATTCTCCTGCCTCAGCCTCCCGAGTAACTGGAACTACAGGCGTGTGCCACCACATTCAGCTATTTTTTTTGTATTTTTAGTAGAGACACGGTTTCACCATGTGGGCCAGGATGGTCTTAATCTCCTGACCTCATGATCTGCCTGCCTCAGCCTCCCAAAGTGCTGGGATTACAGGCGTGAGCCACCGCACCTGGCCCATTTTATTTTTTATTTTTAGAGACAGGGTCTTGCTGTCACATACTCTGGAGTGCAGTGGCACAATCATGACTCACTGCAGCCTCAACCTCCTGGGCTCAAGTGATCCTCCTGTCTCAGCCTCTTGAGTAGCTGGACTATAGGCATGAGTCACCATGTCCAGCTAATTTTTAAATTTTTTTATAGAGATGGAGTCTCACTATACTGCCCAAACTGGTCTCAGAACTCCTGGTCTTAAGTGGTCCTCCTGCCTCAGCTTCCCAAAATGTTGGGATTACAGGCATGAGCCACCATATCCAGCCTGTGTCCATTTTATTTTATTTTACTTTTTTGAGACAGAGTCTCGCTCTGTCGCCCAGGCTAGAGTACAACGGCAGGATCTTGGCTCACTACAGCCTCCACCTCCTGGGTTCAAGCAATTCTCCTGCCTCAGCCTCCCAAGTAGGTGGGATTATAGATGTGTGCCACCATGCCCAGCTAATTTTTGTATTTTAAGTAGAGATGGGGTTTCACCATGTTGGCCAGGCTGGTCTCAAACTCCTGGCTCCAACTGATCCGCCCACCTTGGCCTCCAAAAGTTCTGGGATTACAGGCGTGAGCCTCCGTGCCGAGTCTGTGTCCATTTTAGAGTGCAGAGAACTAGACTCACTGAAGGGAAGTGACCTGTCCAAGGTCACCCAGCCAATGAGGGAGACATGGCATTGTTACCCATACTACTTGATTACAAAGACCTGTGAATTTGTGTTTCAGCAGCTGTTCACAATATCTGGCTTTATCATTTAGTAAGGAAGCCAGGGTTCATCCAGGTCTGAGTGACCTCAAAAGCCTGTGCTCTCTTTTATTGCTTTTATGGTTTCCTGGGAAGGTACCTCCTCAGCTGCAGTGAGCTTGAGAGACTTAATGTCTTTTTTTTTTTTTTTTTTTTTTTTTTTTTTTTTTTTTTTTTTTTTTTTTTT